TGGTAAATGCACATATAGCAAGCGAAATGATATAAACACTGAGCATTTATTTATTGTATTGCTAAAAACATTGAAAAAAGAGGGAAACAAAATTAAAATCTACATGTACCTGGAGTCGATCGCGGTTACTTTCCAATGCAGACTTGTCGACTACCCGCCGTGCTAAGTGAGCATAATAATGAGATAGAGAAAATAAAGATTACAATTGATTAAACTGCTGATAACTCAGTGGGCTCGAGTCTGTACGAGGATTGTCTGTCCCCTATTGTGTGAAGGTTAATTTGTCCTTCACCGAACAACTGTCAGTGAGTATATTTGGTATTCGTGGATTTTTCTGATGCTCGATGGTGCCTTTTTAAAGCTCAGAGGTCAGATGTGTTCATGCATCGACAAATACATTGTATTCATAAATGGCGGCCGCATGGAACGACCTGGTTTCGAATGCATGAAAACGAGGCTTGGTAGGCCATAGAATCCTTGTAGAGCACTTAGACCTGTATTATAAATCACCTTTGCTATCAAAATTTCTCACAAAATTCGTTGAAATCGTCAATATTTTGGAATATAACTGGATAAAAAGGTTCTTCAAGTCTCCGAATGGGATATCGTTGGGTTGAAGTACAATTTCCGTTGTGGAGAGGCTGAGAGATGCCGACAAACTGCTGTTTGCCTGAGAAAAGTGACATTTTCTTATCAAATTTACTCTAAAAACCTACTAAGGTAAAGTAATTTTCAAGTTCAGAGAAAAGGAACTGTCCCAAGCAAGAACTTCTGTTAACTGTAGGATCTATCAGTAGCAGAAGTAAACCTGCCAATCAGAAAGTTTAATTTACTCAAGCAAATTAAGCAAGCAGGTATTTTAACAATGGGAAAATTATACAGGAGAAATCATGTTTGCTTTAGGTGGTGTAACCAAAGCTATTGCCATGTATTCCAATACATTTGGAATTTGAATTTAAAAAATATGAGGAAGTCAAAGTACCTGGCTGTATGCCAAAATTGCAGGGCTGTTATTATGAATCTAGATTTAAAGCAAAATTAAAAGCAAAAAAAAAACAAACTCAGCCATCTACTTCAAAACCTTGTGACAACCCTGCAACATAATTCTGATCAGTTTTTAGTTAGGAACTGCAACTCTTTTCAACCTGTTAAGCTCCAGTGGTTACCATGATCACAAATTCTCCTTCCTAGGTTTTCCTACACTTGCTATTGTCGTGTGGTTGAGAGAGATTCTTTGCAAAACCCGAATCTAACTTTGCTGATCTTTATTCTCAAGACTTGGGTTTGTTTCAGTATTTATATTTCCACCAGGAAAATTTCATTGCTGATCTCTAGATTGGAGCTTATTTAGTACAACTGATAAATGATGCAAAATAAGTATTGACAATATGTATTCAGTAAACTAGATGCAAGTACAAACAATGTACATACAATTGAATCTCAAGCATATGTTTAGATGTATACTGTATGTTGTAAGTTAAAAGGCATTTCTGGTCAATATGATTTTAAACTAGTTTGATTTGTATTCCCCTTGTTTTATAGTCATTATCTTAAAACAGGAGCAAGGGAAATAGAAGTAGAAGTGGTAGATTAGCACTTTGCAAACTCAGTTGCTGCAGTTTTAATAAAATGGTTAAAGTAAAATGTGTGAAGCTTTAGCTTCCGAGTTTCCCCAGGAGGCAGCATCAAAGGGAATTCTCTCTACTGAAATGCCCTTCTTTGTGTAAACAATGAAGTCACACCAAGATGCTAAACTAACACCCATCTGGCCTTGCACTTGAGTGAAGTAGGCATGATCCTTTTCAGTTTACAATGTCCATTGACATCCTCAAAAGAAATTAAGGTCTTGGCAGGCATCTAGTGGGGTTACTTGAAATTTTGTTTCTGGACATTTTACTTTGGCAAGTCCAAAATGATAGTGGCATCCAAAATCGACAACTTTGCCATCTGGTGAGCCCCCCAAAAATGGCATGTCCAGACAAACAACAAACCCGTTCTTGAGAACCTTAACAGGTGTCATTTTAACCTTAACAGGTGTCACCCCGGACCTTTGGGTTACTTAGTTGTGGACAAGGTTTCCAAGAGAGTGGATGACAAAAAACATCAAACTCCCATCTCTCAAGGATATTAACCATTAGGTCATCACACAGCAAATGAACATTTTTTAATAATGTCAAACCAACAATCATTACAACGAATGTCTGACGCCGCAACAAGAAGAGCAGGCGTTTTGTTGATAGTCTCACTTACATGCTTGAACCCATCCCACTTCTTTTTTGATCAGTTTCTTTTACGTCTGACCTACTTTGTGATCCTTGTGCATGTAATCTTGCTTATCGAAACGATTCAAAAACTTGTTCATACTCGAGAATGATCAATCAAAAAAACAAGGCTTAATCGCCACAACTCTGACTGTAGAGCGACGGAGGACTCTGTCCATTCAGCATCACGTACTTCCAATGTCGATCTAACCAATCTTGCAAGGGTCAGGTCATCAAGTACGTTTCCAGAGGCAAGGCGTAACTGGCCATGATCTTGCAGACGTGTTCGTACATCCATAGACCGATCCAATGGCAACTGGGTCAATTGTGAAGATGTGTGTTGACAATGTAACCCACGGGTCCTTGCTTGTCCAGTTTGTCGGGTAATCAATCGCAAGGAAGGGCGCTGGAAAAGTATGGTCTAATACTGTGTTGATTTCGAGCCAGTTGATCCAATTGCACGTCAATCAAACTCACTTTCTCCATCTTCAGAGTTGACACACGTCATACTGTACTGTCTTGTTACTGTTGATCTCTAAGAAATGTTCGAATTCACCAAAGACAATGGCCACATTCTCAAATACAAACAGGGTGCAGCCTTTTCCATTCCCCCAATCCTCTGCTTTCACTATGTTTCCTTGGCTCTTAATCAGACATCCTGTGGCTTGTAAAAATTGTCTGTAACCTCTAGCATCTTTGCTACCATTGTTCCCCAGCAGTCCTAAAGACTTGTAGGGATAGGTTTCTCCCCTCACCACCTGTTTGATGCTAGTCAGATTAAACTGCTGGAAGGTGTAAGGATACTCGCCGATGGCACCGTTGAAGGCCGTAGAGATCGCCAGTCCCACCACTACCATGTTGGGTAGTCTGTTCTGGAAAGGGTTACTGATCTCACAGCGTAGCGTGTTCTGTGTGATATTGAAAGTTCGTATCTCACTTCTCACCATCGGGTTGGTCACAATGTTCTTTCTGTTCATCTCAGTCATCAATTCCCTGCACACAGAGGGATCGAGTCTCACTTGACAGATACAGTTTGATTTGATGTCTTCAGCATTCAACCGAAAGGCCTTGGCACCCTTGTATCTCATAGACCACAGAACCGGTGGGTTAAAGTACATCTGGATACCGATCTGTACACTGGGTATCAACAGTTTGCTGAGATTAAACACTTTTCTGTGTGGCACAAAGCAAAAGATGCTCTGATTTGACGGACATAAGCTTGTTGATCTGGCGTCGGGTCTCTGAATTTGGCATGGGCCAGATTCACTTAATTGGCGTTGTCCAGTATGTCGGTGCCCGGTACATTGACCATATTGAACCACCCTTGGGGTTTCAGAATGGTCTCCGTCATCTCTGGTGTAATTCACCAAGGTCTCCAAGTAAGCTTTGTAGTGATAGGTATCCGTCTGAGGACTGATGAGGGTTCTGTTCAGTCCGACGCTGATCTGTTTGAAGAGGGAGTGAATTATGTTGTTGACCAAAAACATGTTTTTGCCGCCACCATATTAGCAGCATTGGATTTCTTCAGTCTCCATTCCACTTCGAAGTAACTGTGAGAGAGATCCACGTAATCTTCATGAGGATCGATCTGAAAATCTATCAGGTTGATCCCCATTGTGAAGGGATTGATGGTTGTCTGGTGGATATGTGAAAAATGCTGCACTTCGTGAAGAAAGCACCAAATTTTGCACAGAGGTTGTTTATGGCGATCTAAAGAGATTTTGATATGGAGCCATTGACAGAAATTAGGTCTAGGCCATTTAAGGGGTCATTATGCATGAAAGCGAGGCTAGACTTACAAGAGAGCCATTCTGGCCTATTACATTAATTCAAAATGTTCCAAATTACATTGGTATTGCTTATATTTGTCATCATGATATCATCACCTAACAATTCAACACAGGAAACTATAAGTTTTTATTTTTTACACACGACAAGGCAATTTTCATCATGACCTTGGCCTTCCACAACTGTACTGTCTTCTGCTTTACATGTAACACCTGTCAATGATTATAAGGCAACGAAACTAGTTAGGAGGTTTTCTTTGGTGTGAGCAGTTAAAACACTTTCAGAGAAAATACAAGTTTTTGTAAGAAAGTATCAGTATTTTATAGCAGATCACGTGACCTTGAAGAGGGGCCATCTGCAGTTAATATAGTGTCTTCTCTCGCTACTATATTAAATACCCCACACCTCAGCAATATTGTTCCCAAATAAATTTATAAAAGGTGCGTGGTAGATTTGGCCTAGGGATTGAGGGGAGGGGTGTATGAATGACTTGTGATAGTAACTGCAGGCTGCAACAGTCACGGCCATCTTGGATTTTTTCAGTACAATGAATGTGGTGTTTGCTCAGAACTGACAAAGAGCTAGGTAACAACGTGACATTGATGAAAATTAGAAAATTGTCACAGAGCAGCAATTTGGTGATAGAATCACTTTTCAGGTCTCAAATGTAATATTAGAATATTTTAATTTTCTTTGTTGGAGAAGTGATTTCAAAAGCTCGTGCTTCAGGTTTCATCAGGTTTCCAAACGCTCAAACACAAGAAAACCACTCAGCCTGTGGCCTCGTGGTTTCAAATGTTTTTCGCTGTGATTTGTCAATTTAGTGGGGTGCACTCTCCTGTACGGCCCACTAAAATTTAAAGTTGGTTTTGTTGCCTAACTGTTTTGTGATTTATCTCCAAGTGTTATTTTTTATAGGAAGTAACAGTTTTTAAACTTTGTTTTACTCTAAATTGTGTATGAAAGTGTGTTAATGACTTAAAAAACGATGTCAAATTGACCCTTTTTGCTTTCAAGGTGCGTCAAATTTGAAGCTGTTCAGTGTGAATAGAAATCGTTCCTGAATCTGTCCCACACAGTAGAGATATAACAAATATCTTAAATTTTTCACCTCAGTACCTCTAGAGATAGTTGTACCAGTGATGCTGATTGGACAAGATCAGTCAGGAAAGACTATTCGATGATGACAATGACGAAAGCGAAGACAAGAATGATGAGGACATAGAAAAAGACCCTCATTTTACCGTCGGGCTGACCTTGAGTTGGGAGAACAACAACAACCATTGTCTTTGCCTTGTCCTGACCAATCACCTAACTGTCAACTGATAAAAGCCAAATAGCCTCAGACAGATTTGCATCTCTAAACTTGTGATGGTTGATTTCAACTCTGGTGAATATGATCTGAATGTGCTGAAAGATGTCCTGATTCCCTACCTGGTCAACCACTCTTGCATCGATCTGGCCATGGAGCGCAACCACACCTACCTGGCTCTCAAAACTACCTCCCTCAAGTTCGTGGACATCTCCAACTTGGTGGCTGCAGGGACCAGCCATGCCACAGTTTTCTTAAAGCCTGCCAGTGTTTGAACCCGAAAAGACGGTGAGGCTTGGGATGGACGAAGTCACACTAGATGTTTTAGTGGGTGCAACGGTTATGAACATTTGTTACGAGAGAGCTTGTAAAACCTTTACGTGTTTCTATTAAACTAATTTTTATCTTTTGAGAATTAATTTGTTCAACAACCCCCAGGCACTTTCAACAGGAGGAAAACAACAAGGTATAAGAAGCTGCTTTCAATTTTCATATACATATCTTTGGTCTTTGCATTTGTAGTTAGAGTGGGATTCCCAGTTTTTCCCTGAAGGCTTTGAATCTACCATCTCAACAGAAGCTCACTCAGTCAGTCATTCAAAAGATTCAGAAGAAATGGTTTTGGAATTGTAATGGTGGTTGGTTCCCGTTCCTGGCTGGGAACACAGGAGGCACCCCAAAGGAGGGATTCATTTTTCTATACTTTTTTAGATAAATGATTTCCAGTACGATTTGTATTGTATGTTTTTTCTATACCATTTTAGATTATTCATTTTCTATACCATTTAGATTAATGATTTTCTATACGATTTAGATTATTCATTTTCTATGCCATTTGTAGGAAGGGAACCATCGATAGACTTAAGTTCACCCATACTTTTAAAAGGGAAAAAGACAATATTCATCAAATTTGCATATCTTGTTCAAACTCATCTGTCCCTCGCCCATTCAATGCCTTGTGTTGCCAAGGGAGAATGCAAATGCCACATTTGGTTACGAAGGATCAGATAATGGCAAAACGATTAAACTAAGACCAGAAGTAATTTGGAAGGAGTATGATAATCTTCAAACGAGCCCCAGTATTTACACTGAAAACACATCTGTGGCAATTTAAGAATTGACCAATTTTGTAGGCATTTGTTAATATATTGTGATTCAATAGTATCAAATTCAAAGCCTACTTTGGTTTGGTGTTGGGATGTAGAAGTAATGATCATCTTGGCTATACCAATACCAAGCAAATGTCCAGATTTTTTAACGATTTAATAAAAGGGTATCAGTAGTAATAGGCAGTGATATAGGACCTAACCAATTAGAGTGCAGTATTTTGTTCATGTGACCACCCTTGAACAGTGAGATAGCTGGATTTTTGGCTCAGGTCAGCAATGTTGCAGTGGCTGAGCTGGGGGTCTGGGTTCAAGTCTTGGGAACCAGAAGCTACGTCATAGGAACCGGAAGTGATGTCATAACCAATGGGAAAAACAAAAATAGATCATGTGACACCATTTTGGGCAAGAAGAGTTGGTTTTAATTACAATTTGTCAGTCTATTCCTGTTGTGCAAGGATAATTTTCCTGATAGTGAGTTGGTGACCAAAATCGTGTGAAACGGATGTGAGTTATGGTGATTTCATTGATGTCATAAGGATATCTGAAATGTCCTGTGTGGTTTTGTTCCACCACCTGATAGAAGTGTGACCTGTGTCTGAGGGATGAAAGACATTTGCAGACTGTGTGGGGGACTATTGATTCATCAGTCTGTAGATTGTTTTTTTGACATGTTGAACGGGTTCGATGGGTGTGTAAATTATGGCGTGAATATACAAGGGTTGTGGCCTGTTGGGGATGATGGAGATGAACCAATCTAGATTGACCCAGAAGAGATACCAAACCATGGGATCAATGTGAAAGGGAAGTCTTTGCCATGAGTGAGATCCTTTTTTT